GGGGGATTGAAACCAGTGCATTTAAGTTTTTCTGAGTTATGAGCAGAAATACTCAACACTGAACGTTGGGCTATATATCAAATTGAAGCTATTGAAAAACGCTATTTGGTGTAGAAATTTCAAGACTTTAGCTAAAAGGGAAATATTAAAAAATTACAAACATAATTACCGATAATTTGCCGTTTTGCAGTTTTTTTGTATTTTTTAAATATTTTTCTTTTCGCTGAAGTCTTGAAATTTCCACACCGGATAGCAATTTTCAATAGCTTCAATTTGATATATAGCCCGACGTTTGGGGTCAAGTATTTCTGCTCATAACTCAGAAAAACTATTTTGGCTTCATCAAATCATAGGCCTTCATCATAGCAGTTAGCCTTCCAGTTTATTTATAGTTCAATGATCCAACCTCGTACCCAGGCTATTTTCTCTTATACTCGGTGCCACGGCCACAAAGACCCTGGGTACGAGGATGCAGTGTGACCAGATGCAAACCCAGATGCATTCTCGTACCCAGAGCCCTTCTTACGCGCGGTGCGACGAGGGGCTCTGGCCAAGGCCAAATCCATATCCGAACTGGCACCTGATTGGCTAGTTCTAACACCGGATATTGTTTTCTTACCATGTTTTTATGGTATCCGGTTATGGATTTGGCCAGAGCCCCTCGTCGCGCTCGGTCCAACGCGCGTAAGAAGGGTTCTGGGTACGAGAATGGACCAGATGTGGTAATTTCATTACTACATGTGGTAATTTCTACATGTGGTACTGACAAGATGTGGTAATTTCATGACATTAATTTCAATTTTGGACGATTGTGGTAATTTGAAATTTGTGGTAGTTACTACGGTAATTTTTGGAATTGTGGTTATATTAATCTGAAATTTGCTAAAAAAGTCAATTAAGTCAGTTATCTTTGGTACTTTTTCCAAACCTAAAATTTCCAGACCTAAATTTTACAGGTTTTGGTTAAAAAAAAACGGGTTTTTGTCCATGTTCTAACAGGAATTAGTTGGGAAAAATTTTTTTGAACCTTAATTTAACTGGTGGTTGTCCGAAGAATTTTTTTGTCCGGAAAAAATTTTTCGAATCTTAATGCAACTGATGGTTGTCCGGAAAACTTTTTGTCCAGCAAAATTTTTTGACCCAATGGTTAGATTTATCAATGTTCAGTCATTATACTGGTTTGATTAGACTTTGCGTCATCGTCGGGATAAAGTTCTAAAAGGGCTATATTATGTTGAAAATCTAAAGTTCTATAGTGTAACCATTTTGTGCTCCAAAAGATGAGTTAGGTTAGAACGTCCTAACAAAAAGAGTCAAACTTGAAACTTTTACAAAATTTAACCCCTACCCCGCTTTGGATGTCACAATGCACTTCTATTATACCAGAAGCAAATTTTCATTCCCTCCCCATACGGACGGCAGAAATGTTTCTCAGTGAGGGGAGTGTGGATATTTTCTGCAACGACCCAGGGTTTATTTTAAGAAAAATTTAGAACTGCACATATTAGGAATGTTACGAAGCATCACATGTTTGACTGGGGGGTCAAAGGGTGTTTGACTGGGGGGTCAAAGGATTTTTATCTACAGTAGATTTAACGTTGTAAATTTATAGCTAACGTTGTAAAATTAATTATGATAGACTCTTGATTACAGTATATAGGTGGCAGAATAAAGGTGTGATTGGGTGGGCCCAGACAAACTCGATTCTGGGTGGGGAGCTACAGTTAGGGGGTGTCCCTCAAATTTTGAATTTAGAGACTCGTAAGTAAGTTCTGGCAAAGATTTGTTTCACCCACCTACCCAGATGAGAAGACTGTTTTGAGGTTATATTTTTGTTAATTTGGTGACTGCACATTTGAGTTTTAAGAACTGCACAAATGGGTTTAGAACTGCACATTTTGTGTAGAATTGCACGTTAAAATAAACCCTGCAACGACCCAAAGCAGAGAGATTCAATTATGACCATGCACATAGCTTATTGTCTACTGTACTAAATGCCAACCAAATATTGTAGATTTACATTGGCAAAGCCTTGGCCTACTTTCAAAATCCTCTCCGCATCAAAATCCTTGTCGCATCAGTGCGACGTTTGCCGCCAATAATATAATATACCATGCATGCAATAGCATTTTGTTTGCCATTGATTACTGTATGTATTTAAAGCAAGCAATATAGAATCAATTTTTGACTTTGGATAGTGTCCATTTTTTTCAAACATTCTTGCCAATTTAGATTGAGAATTAGGCCTATCATTTTCAGATCAGCAATATTTCAGGGGTTTCAAAATTGTAACCCAGTGTGGAAAGTTTGTTTCATAATATTGAGCAATTTCCAAACTTTCCAGGTCAAGGACTTTACTTGGATCAGTGACTTGGACAAACAAACGTTTCCCCCTTTAGCAGCACGCACATTGTAAATTTATTCAAAATTAGACAAATTTAACGCTTTTTATTTGTTACAACTATTTATTGCCCAATTCCTTTGACTCGAGTGGACTTTCTGCCCTATTTCTATTCTGCATGTGGATATTAGGAGCCAGTCTTGTTTGGCACTAAATAGAATGTAGGGACATGTCTTTGAAAAGTCATTCAAGTAATCTATACTGCACAATTTGTCCAAGTAAAGCCCTTGACCTGGAAAGTTTGGAAATTGCTCAATATTATGAAACAAACTTTCCACACTGGATTACAACCCTTGAAACCCCTGAAATATTGCTGACCTGAAAATGCTAATTCTCAATCTAGGTTGGCAAAAATGTTTGAAATAAATAGACGATATCCAAAATCAAAATTTGATTCTATTGCTTGCTCTAAATACATACAGTCCAGTTGATCTCGTGTTCCTATTCTAGCCAATCAGCGCTCAGAAAGGGTTGTCCGAATAGAAATCCATTTTGATGTATTCAGTCAATTATATCTTTCGTTATTCTTTATGAAACTAGTTGAAATTTTGTAATTATGTTTGGTTATGAGAACTATAGCTCTGACAAAAATATGGAATCGAAATAAAGTATATTACAGGAGATATTCAGTTCTTTTAATCATAAAATGGATTTCTATTTGACAACTAGTGCCAGTACTTTTCCGCGTATCAAGATCACCTGGGTATATATGAACAGTAATCAATGGCAAATAAGAGGCTATTGGTATATTATATTATTGGCAAGCAAACGTCGCACTGATGTGACAAGGATTTTGGTGCGGACAGGATTTTGAAAGTAGGCCAAGGTTTGCCAATGTAAATCTACAATATTGCTTTGTAGGTCGGCAAATGGGTTGGCATTTAGTACAGTATAGACAATAAGCTATAAGGTCCTAATTGAATCTCTCTGCAATGGGTCGTTGCAGAAAATATCCACACTCCCCTCACTGAGAAACATTTCTGCCGTCCGGATGGGGAGGGGATAAAAATTTGCTTCTGGTATAAAAGCACATTGTGACATCCAAAGGGGGGGGGGGGTAGGGGTTAAATTTTGTAAAAGGTTCAAGTTTGATTCTTTTTGTTAGGTTCTAACCTAACTCATCTTTTGGAGCATAAAATGGTTACACTAGAACTTTAGATTTTCAACATATTATAGCCATTTTAGAACTATTATATATCCCGACGATGACACAAAGTCTAATTGCCATACATCATTATTCTGTATTATTTAAGTGATACCATAGATATCTTATATACACTAGATAGTGCATCTAATTATAGATAGCGCTTTGCATTGTGGTTATAGTGGTATCACTGATCGATATTCAAGATGGCTTATTTTTTGTCTTGACCCGTGCAAGAACTTTTAAAAAAAGCTAGGGTCAGGTGCGCGATAGCCAACAGCAAAATATTCGCGAAAACTTTCAATATTTTCATTCGAGGCCACTATCTTTATCAGTGATACCACTACAACCACAATGCAAAGCGCTACGAAAACGTAATAAGGGGAATCATCAATTGAAAGTAAATTATCTTTAATATTTCCTTTTCTTGTCTCTCTTATTTCCTATTAAGCGGTTGTTCATCATGTCACAATTTTGTTCCTCACCACAAAATATCCCATCGTTTGAATGAACTTTGTACTATGTTTGTGATGTTACTCTTAGTGTATATCCACACCGGGCAAGCTTGAAAAATATGCCTGACCACGGTGGGAATGGAACCTACGACCTTTGGAATACTAGCCCAATGCTCTGTCAACTGAGCTGCGCGGTCAGGTCGGTTCGAGTATGTGATATTTCGGAACTGAATCTAGTTCCTTCGATATCAATGCAATCTAGTAATATGATTTTTTCTGTGTTGGTGTTATGTACTCAGGTGAATATGATGTTTGTGATGTTACTCTGAGTGTATATCCACACCGGACAAGTAACATCACAAACATCATATTCACCTAGTACATAACACCAACACAGAAAAAAAGAACTTTATACTGTTACTGAAATCAAACTAAGCTAATTCAACTTTGAAATGTCATTTTGAATGTTTATCAAAGCCATGATAAGAACTTTATTAAACGAATCATCCCAGGCAAGCCCGGCTACAACCGGCCCTTAAAGATACTATAGATAACCATACATATGCAAGTTAATAAGTCCATTTTTTACCAAGGCCGTCGCCAGTATCTGGGTATCGCATTTGACGACAAAAGGGTGTGGTCATCCCAAATTAACTAATGTAGATTAATATGGGCCCGTTTACATGAGAGAGGGGCGAAGTCAAGCCGGAAATTGTCGACATGTTTACACGAGACATTCTCCAATCTATTCCCCTTGCCAGGCAATTTTCTTTTTTAGATGGCTTAACAAAATGGCTTAACATGCTAACAAAGCATGTGCTGTTCCAATGTCAAGATTACAGCCGAGACCGGTCTGAAATGTATTTGTGTTTACATTAACTCATCCCAGTCTGAATTCATGCATGCCGGTCTGAAGTCAGTCGGCTCGGTCCAGCAGGCGGAATGGCTTGAGACCGGTCTGAGTTATTTTCGTCCCGATCTCATGTAAACATCAATTATAAATAATACTATGACCCAAACGAACTGCTCCCGGTTTTACTTCGTTCCGGTCTCATGTGAACGGGGCCTTAGTAATGTTCAATTACAAGTAGAAATTGGACATATCTAGCTCTTTATTCTGACGAGAGTCTTGTTGGACAATATGTTTTATTTCAATAATAAGTGAATAACATGTTCCAGTGTTTTAAAAATTACCATTGTTGTAATTGTCGGGGAAGATCAAAAATCTATTTTGCCTTTTAATCATGATTTTAACCTCGCCGTTTAAAATGCGCCTCATTATAACTTTTCTTCTGAAAAACCTCATTTGCCAATGCCAACCGAGAGATATCTTTCAAATCCCATCATCATTTGACGGCAATGAAGACGTGATATGAAAGATATCTGTCGGTTGGCATAGATGGCAGAAAAATGACACTGATGCATAATTTGACGACATTTTTTAGGAGATTTGCAATAAATTATTTGTACTAGTCAGTCCATTCATCGAGTATTTTCCGTTTGCCGACAAATTCTTCATTTTCCGAAAACTGAAGTTTTCAGGGAGGTCACCCCCCCTCCCCCTCCCCTCCCCTTCGAGACGGCTCTGTTCCACATAAAAAGCAAAACGACAAGCATTAGAGCCAAACATCAGAGACAAAATCTACCAAATTAGCCCAAACCACCTCTTGCCGGACTTTCACGAAGATATAGATCTATATACCGAATTAGCATTGGCTAGTTTATCAGCTTCATAATTTGCTGAATTTCATGAACCAGATCTGATTCGCTAGAAAAAACAACCATTCAATAAAATTGTCGAAAATTGACGCTAAAAGAGGCGAACAAGCAAAACATTTTCGGTATTATAGACATTGTTTAAAGTGGTACTGGTAATATAAGACCAGACTAAAGCCCACTTTACACTATCGGTAGATAGTCTCTGACTTTCTGTGATCAACCTCGCCCCAGGGCCATTTGCAGAGGAGGCGCGCCTTCTCTGCAAATGGCCCTGGGGAAGGTTCTGTGATCACAGTTGGAATTTTGTATAGCCGTTGGTACATTCTTCGTTTTGAAGGATTTGTAAGAAATGTTTGAGGAAACCGACTCAGTCTTTATCAAAATAAGAAAGATGAAATCGAGTTTTTGTCGTCCAAGAGACCAGTAGAAGAATTTTACCAGCGTAGTCGTTCACTACAGGGCTTCGATCGACAACCTCAACAAAATTGCAACAAGAATTTAGGTCAACACATATTACGGACCGTAAACTATAATTTTAAAACACCTCTCAAATATGTCCACCACTATAACAGGAACCCTTTCCGATAACCCCCCCCCCCCCTCCTTCTTTCGTCCAGGGGTAGAAAAAACACTTTATAGCCAAGTGACGTACTCTCCAGAAGTGTCTATACGCCTGCAAGTTCGTGTTAGTTTATGGCGTTCCTTATTCACTGCATTTCAATCACACCCTCCCTCTCTCTCTAGCTGCAGCGTGCACGGCAGACAGTGGACCCGCGAATAGGACAAGTCCCGCCCCTTTCAAGAAGACTCCCTCATCAAATATGCCTGAAATAAACAAACCCCTGAGGGATGTTTCAAGATGGCTTGAAATCCGTTCATATTGCAAATTGTAGCAATTCACCCAGCCCTAGTTAGCCTATATCCGCCATTTTTGGGCCCATATCAGCCATTTTTGGGATTCTTTCTTCCCACATCAGAGAATCTAGACAATCTAAGCAATGTGAAAAGCGACTTTTCATACTTGTAATTGCGACTTGTAATTGTAAATTCACCTTTATATACACACAACAACAGCGAATTTCGCGATGTGTACACCAGGGTCCGGTTGGTATAACTAGTGGTGTAGTGGAGGGGGCTGAGCCCCTCCCCTTTAATTTCCTTTCAGTTCGGCGGGGTTCAGACCCCCCTCCCTAAGATTTTTAGTCTTTGAAAATATAACTTGAAAATATAAATTTTAGCAAGACTAAAATAGTCTTTGAAAATATACTAATTTGTACTAATTTAATAAGACATGGCAATATTCTACAATTAAAATATAGCTGCTGTTCCAATTTATTTCTATTAGATTTTTAAGGTCACACAATTAATGCTATTTTTCCTAATATATCCAGGATGGTATTCTGACTAATGAGCTCTGTAGTGATTGTATTTTCTTGTAATAATATGAAAAAAACATAACTAGAATAAAAATAATTCTGGTGGTTCATGCCTCAAGGCCTCGCTAAATGAGCTCCCCTTGTTAAAATTTTAGGACTAAACAAGTGTGTATACCCCGGATTAAACTTCAGTACTTGTAAAATAAAGTTTCTTTTTTTTTCTTGTGCGGTCCATATCTGGTTTCACAGCTACTCAAGTATTTCTACGACGATTGAAAAACTCACTATTCGGTAGACTTGTTCCAAGTCTCTCTTTCATTGTCATATCGATCCACTATAGTGTACATTACATGACGTAGCACGGAGAGGCGGAGCGAGAAAGAGAGACTTGTCAACTTCGGAAAATCTCGGTTCAAAACTGAACCGAAAATGCAAGACTTGCTTTAATTGTTTTCTGTCAGTGTTTATATGTATTGATCTAGCACAGTGTAAATAACATGAGTTCCATTATAGTAAATAATACAGAAAGAAATTGAAGGAAAACAATTAAAGCAAGTCTTGCATTTTCGGTTCAGTTTTGTACCGAGATTTTCCGAGGTTGACAAGTCTCTCTTTCTCGCTTGGCCTCCCCGTGCTACGTCATGTAATGTACACTATAGTGGATCGATATGACAATGAAAGAGAGACTTGGAGCAAGTCTAACTATTCGGTGGATAGCGCTGTCCGGCCCTCGTAGAACCGACTCCAGTGCTGGAAAATGCCCAGAAGCGCCAGCAGCACCGTTGTCAGGAAATTTTTGATAAAATATCTTCGCCGCAAATTTTCTTACATGCAGCAGGAATACCCTTTGCCATCTTATATATTGAAGTCCAAATGTACTTTTGAAATCAAATTGTCATGTGTGGAAATAGACCTTTCCCCTTTTAAGTGAAATTTTGATCCAGACAAGTCTGGGCAAAAATTTCATCACAGCTTGAAAGAGCATCGCAAAATTAGTAATATTCCGAAGTTTCGTTGCAAAATGTTGTAAAATGCGGATAACATAGCCCTGCGAAGTTTGCCGTTTTTCAGTCATTTTAGATTACAAACGGGAAATTGATGATCAAACTGATTATCAATTTCCCATGTGTAATACAAAATGACTGAAAAACGGCAAACTTCGCAGGGCTATACTATCCGCATTTTACAACAATCGCAACGAAACTTCGGAATATTACTAATTTTGTGATGCTCTTTCAAGCTGTGATGAAATTTTTGTCCAGGCTAGTCTAGATCAAAATTTCACTTAAAAGGGGAAAGGTCTATTGATGGTGGAACTACAGCACTCCATCAAAAACCTCACAGGAAATTTTCATTTTTGGATTTTACTGCCAGGCCTGGCGTACACTCTCAGACTTGAGAGAAGCAGTACCCCCAAAATGGTGAGAAAGGGTAATCGGGTGAATTCGAAATTTACCCATACGCCTTACATTGGCATCACCTTCGTATTTCTACTTGTGATCAGAGCTCGACAACTGGACTCTGTAGCTCAGTTGGTTAGAGCGCTGCACCCGAATCGCAGGGCTGCAGGTCCAATCAATCTATAGTTGCATTTTTCGCAACTGCTCCTGGTTAGATATAATAAATGTATAAAATTCCACTCGAAATTGCCATCTACAAAACCCTTCTCAACAATTAGTTCAGTATCAAGTGAGATGCCCCAAATCCTAGTTGATTAAACGCGGCATTTCTATACATGTGACGTTGCAGTTACAGCTCGCACTTGCCAAGTGCGCAACAAAATGAAAAATATCCGTTTTCTAATTAGAAAGCAGTGAAGCTTGAACTTCAATAACTTATCTTGTTCTCCCACACTAAGAAATGACAGCTGGCGTTACAACGTCGTTTTATTATCTTACATCAGAGGGTGCCTTATATGACAATATCAGTCATTTTGACACTAACTTTGGCTATATATATAACATGATTATACGATGCCCCGCAGATATTCAGCCATGGAAGCCAATATCGCGCACGCCATCAATATACAGACAAGACGTAGTGATTTTTCCATGATTGCAAGGTTGTTCCAATGTCACTCTCAAATGACGTCATCTTCCATGTCATGTTTCGGTACTTAAATATACGTACGATATCAAGATAAGGATGGCGTCTGCTTGATGGGAAAAAAAAACGAAACAGGCTTGATTTCAGACTGCTTGATGAAAAAAATGCTTTATTGATGAAGTATGTGAGAGTGTAAACCTCTTTCAAAGTACTATCGAAGATTCTTTGAGCTTTAATTAATCAAACATTTTTTACAAATCCTTCAAAATTAGAAATCAGATCAATGCCAACTGTGATCACAGAAACTTTGATAGTGAAAGGACTGGTTTACAATGTCGAAGTTTCTTTGAATCAGAGTTTTGATGTTCCAAAATACCTTTAGTTATACTGGCCATCCCTATCATGCAAAGGGTGGCATTTTAAATAAAACAATTCTTGCAAGCATTTAATTGGGGGGGGGGGGGGTT